GAGCCATGATCCCATGAAGTACACAGTCCCAACCCTGGAGGTGCTCCAAACCACGGGGATGTGGCACAGGTCAGTGGGCACGGTGGGGTGGGTTGGATGTGGTGATCTTGGAGGTGTTTCCAACCTGTGATCCCAAGCACCACGACTGCCACAACTTCACGGGGAGCAGTGTGCCAAGTTGGGTGCCCTGTCCCCTCCACCTATCTAAGATCACTCCTCTTGCTATTCCAGGAGATTTTTTTTAGTACAAAATCAACACCATGAAAGATCGTGATCTTGTCAAAGGAAGACATCAGGGCACTTTTCTCATCACTGTGTGCACTGCGGTGACTCATTTGCTTATTTTTAACTGGGGCAGGTCCTACCGAAGGAGAAAAACGACTCCAAGCCTGAGTGACAGTGATGGGGGATGGAGTCCCAACCTCCATGCAGGTCTGAAGGAGTGGAAACCTCCACTGAACGCCACGTCGTCCCATAACCCTTGTAAACAAGGCGGACTTCTTCAAAATATTTATTTTAGGTATCAAATTGAATGTTCCAGCTCTTTGGGAATTCGATTCGCTCTTTGCAGGCAGGGATCCCAGTGCCTCAGCACACAGCTTTAAAGGCATTGCTCCACTCTTTTGGATTAGTGACCCATTCTAACAGGTCCTCATTGACCGCTGCTGTGGGTCTCTCAAAGAGTCCATTGGATGCAGCTTACAAAGGAGTTGAGCCGGAGATGAAGAGTTTACAAAAAGTTTGTAGGAAACCGTGGAGTCCTTTTAAAAGAGAATAAACTGCCACTGCTGTGTCTGGGCTGAGTTAATCTGATTAGGCCAAGCTCATCAACAGCCCTGCTGAAAGGAGTGAGGGGGAACTCGGGCTGGGGCGGCCCCAGAGAGAAACCAGGGACCTTTTTAGCATGGAAGTCAAACAAAACCCATTGTGGCAGAGCGTGCTCGCCTACAGATGGCAAAACAACACATCTTTGCAAAGGCAAAGTAAATATCCTTGATGGTTTTTCTTTTCTTTTTTTTTTCTTTTTCTCCTCAGATGTGAGATTAACAGATATCAAAGTGAATGGGGCTGTGAAGCACTGTGGATAGTGTCCTGGCTGCTCAGGTTGATGAAGTTCACCTTCTCTGAGTAAAACGTGGAGGGATAGGAAGCCCTCACACCCAGCACTGCTTCTTCCCTGTCCCTTGGGAATTGCATGGGTATCTACATGGGAAGCAATGCAGACCCAGCGTCCACCAAAGCACACGGTGGTGGTGGGTTGGCAGTTGGGCTTGGTGATCCTAGTGGCCATTTCCAACCTTAATGACTTGACAACTCTATGATTCCATGCTCCATCATCACCCGCTTTGGGCCGTCCCTCCGTGGATGACCAGGCAATGCACCACTAAGGCTCTGCAGCAGCCTCCTTGCAAACCCAACCACTGCATCTTCTCGTGGCCATAACATCCCTAAGCAGCAGCACTGCACTGCAAGTCACCGCACTTGGACAACGTGCTTGCATGATGCCCTTATATGATGCACTAGCAAGAAGCAATGACACCATGCACTTGTATGATGCACCAGCATGATGCACTTACACGATGCACCTCCACGATGCACTTGTATGATGCACTTCCACAATGCATTTCTATGATGCACTTGCACAGTGCAGCCAAGGAAAAGCTACCAGGTCTTCTCTCCTCCCCCTTTTCACCAGGTTTCAGCACTGCAATCCCGCAGTTTTGACCTTGGAAAGCACTGCAGCATTTGACCAAACACCTGAACAAGACTTCAGCCCCCACTGCATCTCATAGAGGCTGTGCAGGGCCAGGCAGCGCTCATTGTGGGCAAAAGAAAGCCCCTAATTAAACACCCCGTTGGGAAGTGACATCCCCACCACTGCTCTGCATTAGAGGAGCCAGGGCCGTGCTTGGATTTACCATAGGCAGCTCCTTAGCCAATATAATTAAGAACAGTATCAGTGGAAGGCATGTAAGGAGATTTTCTCCCCGAGGCCACCTAATACAGATGTAATTGACTCTATTTTCTGCTTTCTGCACATGGATTGCCGCAACTCAGCCCCTATTATCCGCCAACAAATGAACAGGATCCGCTGAAAGGACCTCTCCAGCCAGGGCCAGGCGCAGAGAATGGAGCACTGGGCTGTGTTAAATCCGGACACAACGCTCTCCTTCCCTCCCTTTTCATCTCCGCCGCCTTTTCAAGATGTTTTCCATGCGGGATAAGTCAGCAAGATTTGGGTTTTGGGCAAAGCGTTGGCACTCAGGGAAAGAAGGGAACATCTGTCCCAATCAGCTGTGCTATTCTGCGCCGCCCCACAAAACCGGGCGATGCCTTCGAGAGGGGCTTTGTGAGCACGGCTGCAATTTCCTTTCGCTGCGATTTCGAAGGGCGGGGAAGGAGGAAGGGAGGTGAGAAAAGAAATTAAACCCCATTGGCTTTGTGGTGAAAGAGGCCCTGAAAAAAAATCTCCATTTCTAACGCTGCAAAATCCCCGCCGCGTTCCCACAGCCATCCCCCAAAAGGATGTCCTCAGCAGCAGAGGCACAAGGAATAATAGTTTGTTAGTGCAGATAGCAATTTGCTTAGCAATACCCTTGCTTACAGCTGAAGGGACCCCAACGCTTCCTTGGAGCAAGAGATGCTCTGAGCATCCCAATGGTGCACATCGGATGTGGTGGTGCAATGGTGCAAGGGATGCATCCCAATGGTGTACATGGGATGCAATGGTGCAAGGGATGCATCCCAATGGTGTACATGGGATGCAATGGTGCAGTAGTGCAAGGGATGCATCCCAATGATGTACATGGGATGCAATGGTGCAAGGGATGCATCCCAATGGTGTACA